GTCGCTGCTTGTGGTGCATGGTCTGCACCCGACGCTCTTCTCGTTTTTTTTTGTTTTGAAAAGGAGTAAATGTATTGTACCGTGTCCACTCGCTAGCCCACGTTCGTAGCCTCCGACCGATTGCTCGCCTCGTTTTTGGAACATCGTTCAGTCACCCTACGTGACTCACCATCAGGTGGATCAACCGTACTGGCACTTATCGTTAGAGCCCTTTTCACTTTTATTCAATAAATATAGAATAGGTGATAATAAATAAATTAAATATAACTACCAGTCCCCACATTTCCAGAACCCCAGGATTTCCCGCACTTAATCATTTCGGCTGTTTATTTTCAGGAATAAATCTACCACCATCGCGGAATTTGCTCTTTACTTACTAGGAATATTAGAAATTCGAAACTGAAAACAAATTGTTTTTACCTTTGGCGAATACTGGTAAAAAGAAGAAGTAGGTATTACTGAGAGAAAAACTAAGAAGTAGAGCGGCTTCCTCACCTTAAGTATAGCCACCAGCGAATCAATGTAGGAGATAGCAGCGTTGAGAATTTTCAGCTTGGAGACCCTTTTCGTATGCGCCCGTAATGAGGGCAGGTGAAATTTCAAAGTGACGAAAGCCTAAAAGTACGCACTTTTATGAAACGAAAGTGGTTCATGCATCACTACTGCAGCATATGTATTGAACCATTGACTTCCGTCAAGAGACCCGTCGTGTGGCCAGAAGGCAGAGACGCAGACGGGTCAGCGGACGAGTCGCAGCGCGTACTGTAGCGATTTAGCGTCAAGTTAAATAGAATGTACTATAGTACGTCCCACATCGCACAATACGCGCTGCGACTCGTCCGCTGACCCGTCTGCGTCTCTGCCTTCTCGCCGCGCGACGGGCCTCCTGTCGGGTACCCCGTTCCAAACAATTGAGGAACCCCTTTATATGAACACTTCCGCAGGTTTTTGTCGTTTAATTTATCGATGACAGTAGTCTCGGTAATTTGTAATCTTAGTCAG